TTTTTTTTTTTTTTAAACTTGCCTTGGTTTGGTGCATGGTTAACCAGGTGTGACTGAAAACAGGTAGTAAACACAGCTATGTCCCAATTTTGTAGAACAGAACAAAGGAGCAGACAACCTTTTGCTGGCCAGATTCCACCAATATATGGAGGAGAAGGCAAAGGCCAGAGAGAGCCATACATCACACATATGAAGAAGGTCTGGATTTTCTTATTTACTCCATGGAATTTTGGAGACTTTTTAAAAACTATCTTAAGCCTTTTTTAAGGCTTTTTTGACCCTAGCTGAAACTGTATGCCAATTTTTAACAATGATGGTGGAGGGGTTCCAAAAGAAGTGGATTGGGTGGCACAGATGGTCCATTTTTGAGCTAAAACCAGGAATAAGCACCACTGTATCTAAGAGCGAAACAATCATATAGATGAACCCTGCAGATGCCTCCTTAGCAGATTCTGATGCCATAATCTGCTCACTCAGGGTACAAGTGCTAGAAGTGAAGGCAGCAAGGGGAAGGATGGTTCAACGGTCCTTACTCATGTTCTTCTTGCTCTTAAGAAGACAGAAAATATAATCCTTCCCATTCCCCCTTTTAAATTAGGGGTGGAAATTTGTTTTATTTTCCCACAAGAGTAGTCTGCTGCATTCTTCTATCAAACCATCTTTTTCTTTCTTTTTGGCAATCAGAGACAAACTGAGTTCTTCAAGAGGTAAAAACTGATCCCTTGCAGAAGGATCATACTATATACGCTTTATGACTCCCCACGCCATGTGACCAAGTCATATTTCAAGCACACACACAAACACAGCAGTCACTGTCACGCTTAAATTAACTTTAAGATATGATTCTGAATGGCCCAAGCCCAAGAGAACAAGGAGGATTATTTTCTCTGTCATAATGAGGAAGATCAGTAAGAAACATAGGCACAATGAAAATACGAATCCCCTTTCTCTCTCCCCACACAAACACCTTGTTTCTAAAGGTTTAGCTATCAAAACACTTCATTATTTGGTTTTATCATGTAACTCATCCAGTTTCCCCTACTTTATCATGACTGATGGTGATGTCTTTAGGCTGCAATCTTAAGATTGCATTCTTTTCAGCAAGAAGTGTGGAATTTTCAGGCCCAAAACTTCGGTTTTCATGCTTCCTTTCCATTCTTGTGATTCCATTTGCATAACCAGCTTTAAAAATAAACACATTGAATCGCAATGACAAGACTGAGGATGCCAGAACCTGCATCACCCAACTGTTGTTGTTTTCCATTGTATTGCATTCGTTGGGAGTTGGATTGATT